TAAATAAAAGTATATATATATCCTTATATTCACATACCAAATGATAGCATTATGTACAAATCAATATATGCCACCGTAGGTTGGCACCCATAACCCTATATATATATATATATATACGTATCATAAATATTCATACATACATACGTACATACTTATAGGTATGTATAGAAATATAGGAACATATATATATTTGTATATACATACAGATATATGACTATATATATGGCATTATATGGTAGTCACAAAATGATGTGGAAAATTCAAGTATTAGCAATATATTTTTACTGTGCACACAGGTACATACAAAGATTTAATGAGAGTACAAACATAGTGTCAGCGGTGAGCGTTCAACGAGTCACCGCCCCACAACTACAGATTGTCTATTACAGGTTGATGGGCAAACTATTCATCATCTTCTCCCTTCGTGCCACGCAGCTCGGATTCTTTTCTTAGCTTGTCAATGTCGGCCTTAGCCTGTGCCTCCAGCTTTCTGATATCTTTCATGGATAATCCATGCCACCTGTACGTCGGGTTAAAGCGCAGTGTGAGTCCTGCCGCTCATTTTAAAGGTCTGAACAATACGAGATAGAATAGATAGCTCCTTGTCTGATGATTTGATTCCATACAATCGTTGATCAAACAAATTAGAAAGATATACGGTATGAGTCAAACTTTCGGCCTTCACACCAACACTGCAACTTAATATACACTTACTTGTCCATCCAACAGTAGAGTTGTCTGTGGAAGTTTCTGTGGAGGCGTTCGTTTGAGTCCATAACAACCTTCTCCACTCGATTCTGTAATCCCCACCACTTGAACTCACAGGTGACCAACTTATATGATGTCATCACCGGGTCTACCTTTGTCTGTCGTGGGCAAAAAGACACGGTTGGAGTATTACACTAAAGGAGCGAAACTTATATTTCCTGCACGAATTGAATCGATTTTTGTACCAAATTCGGGCACGAGCTAACGTACTAAGTTTAGACATGCGAACGTATATACACATCTTGTTTTGTTTGGTACATAGAGAGTCAGAGCGCTTACCTGCCAGCCTTTTCCTAGGGGTCCTCGTCCGGTCTTCTCCGACTTCACTTTTGTAGGATCCTCCTCTTTCTGTAGATGCAGTAGTATGCGATATGTCTTTAACTGGAACTGCACCAATGGCATCTAGAGCGCTGTATGCAACGGCGTAAAGAACAATATAGCTGTCTTAACAATAGACTCTTAGTGTGACTTGACATACCTTATAATCCGAGGCGGGCACTTTATCCATAGCGATATCAATGTTCACGACCTTTCTCAACTTCAATTGTTTCCCACTTAGCTTGTGGCACTATGAATGTAAGTTTAGTATGTAAGCTACGTGACACAGTTCGTGATGGGAAACCGACGGGTCCGGTTTGTAATTCAAGATTGCAATACAGTGCAATGACATACTTAAAACGACTAGCTGATTGAAAACCTGATTGATTGTGGTCCAAGAGAAGATAAAAAATAAACGCATACACAACACGGAAGTTGAAATATCTAATAAGCAACTGTCACACGCGACACAATCTCTGCAGACGGGAGACAAATTGTGCAAGAAAGTCAAAATTATATATCAAACAAGGAGTCAGACTAATGTAAACTACTCATAACCCCGGCGAAACATACGTTTTCTGTGGTTCCAGCGTCTGCTAAGTGGTGGGTGGACACATCAATAAAGAAGTTATCTTTCATGTAGGACGGGTTCTTCAACACGGTCTTGCAGTAAGGAAATGCGTTCCAGGCTTCTTCCTCAAGTACTAAAGAGCCCTCTGGTGCAAGCATTTTTACAAACTTTGGAACTTTACTAGCGAGATGGTATTTCTTAAAGGTGTACTGGCCGCTGCCGTAATCCTTGTGGTTCTCGAAGGGCTCGTTTTTGATAATCTCGACACCATCGCCTCCGCCGGTTTCGTTCTTACTAGCCTCCATAACACTGAAAAGTTGTCCCACCTGGTACTCGTCTACCGAGACAGGCATGACAATACGATACTCTGAGATCAACATGATTGCAGATTACAGCTAACTGAGGATGTCGTTCCCTAGTCTCTCGTGGTGGAATATGTCCAACAATCGTTATCTGTGTGCTAAAATCTTTTGTTCAATATTTATTTACAATAACAAGGCGATCTAAATACCGAACTTTCTAAACTTTTTTGCCACAAATTATTATAATTTTTATGGGGTTTGCTCTTTGGGATTGTATTATATATCTATACATTCTGTGAAGGGGCCTTATATATCGCAAATCATAGCCTCTCGTAAATCTTCTCGTAAAATTATAGCACGCAAATAGTCATAGTCTTGATGATGAGACAGTGCAAGTTGGCAAAGCGAACTAATATTGCCTCTCATGTGTCTTTTATTAGAACAGTTCCCGTAATCCAACGTGTAAGTCTCTACCAAAAAAAAGTTGGCAAATTGACGGGGCTCTGAGCGGAAGCAATACAGACGGAGTTTTCAGGATATCATATAGAACTTCATCTGAGCACTATTTGCTTACCTATCATAAACTCGAGCGCAACAACGACGCAAGACTCGCGCATCTACCTAAATACAATGTCGATAACTAAATTCGTAAATATGACTATTCCCCCGTTATCAGTAACTGTTAAATAGTTTAGGGCACAATGATAGTCATATACCCTCCTGAAGAATATGAACAAATGTTCGACACATCAGCACTTTGATAATACCCAAGAAGGCAGAGCAACCTTCGGATTAAAAATAGAAAGGACATAGTGCACAGCAAGAGACCTAAAAACGCACAGATTTCTCTCTAGATTCATATTTTATAAGGATATGCAGCAAGAGACCTGTTTATCATATATATTTAAAATAAATATGGCTTAAGATATATAGCCTTCCATGTACGCCTTTTAGAAGGCTATGTAAAAAGAATTCCATATATATTATGGTATTTATTGTAAAAAACATATTCAAAATCATCAAAAAGCCCGCCATTTTCAGTTGGTATTAGTTTCTTCGTCTGCCTTTTTTTTGTTGAGACAAACGCCGGTACCTGGGCTAAAAAAAAAATCCATACATGCTATATGTACGATGTATGTATTGTCGTTTTTTACTGTAAATATATATGAAAGATACACTATGTAACATACGGTCTCGGTCGCTGGTGGTATAAACTGATCTCGTGTGATATATAAATACCATAGACAGACTTTGCACACGCCAAAGTGTAAGACAGCAGTGTTAGACTGTCAGTCTGATCGCCATAGTAAACCCGTCATGGGGCGGCCCAGGCGAGCCACGGCGGAGCCTGTCTCGTATGCTGAGAACACCAAGGATTCGTTTCTTGCAAGTGCACTCAATCACAACAGCAAGGGCATGGGGCAGTACCTGTCGTCAACATCTATGTCAACAACCATACCGACGCAAAGAAAGAGGGTCAGAAAAGACTCGATAGTGGATAGTGCAGAGGCGAACAAGGAGAATGTTATCAAGGTAGGATTTGTCTCTGTCTTTGTGGATATATATGTGTGTGTTACTTATGTCGAACATTACGCTAGAGATATCGTGGCCATCAGGCATACATCCAGTTGTTTATATTTACAATCATGAATTTTACAGTAGTAGTTGTATGCATATATTTTCTGTCGATGTAATATCGTAAGCAGTAATGATTCCCCCTCGTCTCCGTCGACGTTTGCATTTTAGAGAGCATATCACGCCGCTTGTGTACAGAGTTACGTGCGAACCTCCGGTACTTTACATTATTCGCAGTGTGAGCTCTTTTTCGCTGAGTCGTAAGAGATTTAGTATTGCTACACATAGCAGTACCGCTACTTGTACAATATTAACTTCGGATACTAATTGATTAGTTTAAGGATCAGATAGAGCAAGTAGGTGCTGTGTTAGCTGTGATGCATGTACTCAGGTCAGCTAAGTATTTTGGTTTCCACCCTGGATAGCTGTGCTATAGCCGTGCATATGATAGGCTTCTAACGCGAATTTATATGCTCTCGTTACATGGTGCGTCTTTTATCCTGAGTTGAAATTAAATCTAGCATATGGACTCGTGTGTATTGCCATAGTGCCTTTGCAGGCAAGGTCACTATAGAAAGGCATTCTCTAGTGGACTCTGACACGTAGTAGTGTACCAATTGTCTTGCTGCAAAGAATTGGAGTGTCGAATTGTGCCTCATATTAATAGTGATGTAAAGAATGCTTATGGTCGAAGATTGGAATCTCGCTGTTCAATCAGTACACTCACGAACCTGACAGTATGGTCCTAACATGAATAGTTCTGCGTTGGCAACAGCACACCTTGCAGGCTCTTTGTATATGAACAGTGTGTGTACCTACTCCGCTGCCTGTGTGCCTGTCACAATATAAAGTACATAGGATCGCGTACTAGATTGTTATCTCCTTGCACATCAGTTTGAGAATGCTAAGGTGGCTGGGCGGCAGTATTATTAGTGCAACAATAGATTACCCATTAGAAAGCTGCATCATATCTTGAAAACGCCAGCAATGCTATCGAGGGTGCGCGTACGATTCTGTTGTGCGATACGGATTGAACTTAGTAGATTAATACATCCGCTTTACCGCGTTCGCGCGGTTTTGCTGTACAGAAGGCCGATAAACCTGATAGCAAAAGCAAAGCAAAAAAAGGGAAAGATACAAAACTCATAAAGGTACGTGATTTTGATGGCCGAGTCGCATTACTTTAATCATATACTGAGTACTGTGTATGCTGGTTGCTACTTTGATCTTAAGCAGACTATCGCAATGATGCGGAAATAATATTAGTTGTTTGTACGATTCTGCACTCATCCTGTCCCACGTTAATCACAAAAGAGCCAAGCTGGTGTTAAAAACCCCAATAAACCAGTAGGACTATCGAAGCGTCCACGGATAGAAAAGCCACCAATATCCAAGGAGGTCGTATCTAGTGTGAAGCCGAACATAAAAAAAGGTTAAGAAGATTTTAGTTTCGCAAAGTATATGTATATTATTTTATTATTGTATTATTTTATTGCATTACTATTTTTACATATATATATATATATATATATATATATATATATATATATATATATATATATATATATTATTATTATTATTATATTTTNTNTATATATATATATAT